GTAAAAAATAACACAAAAAATAAAAAGTGAATGTTGTCAGTGTAGTGAAATCGGAGGCAACAATAATAAAGACGTATACACTAAAACCGTTACAATTATAGTCCCCATCTTGTTTTAAATACTCACAATAAAATACACACAAAAAACACACAAACGTCCCCAAAACATTAACTTCAATTTATATTTCCCTAGTTGAAATTAACTTATTTTATGAAATTGATACATTCGAGAAGATATCGTGATTACATGGTAGCCATCCATGATCCCCATTTAGCCCTAGGTTTTGTATATGAAGCAAATGGTTCTTAAATCTCTTTTTAAATAGTGAAATTGACAAAATATGATACGGTACATCATGATCAAGGAGATAATTTAAAATTTTGGATGCATTAAAAACAAAATTACTATTCTTGGTCTTAGACATTGAGAATTTAGGATATAGCAGTCTGCATGATCTACTTGACTTGCTAAACCGGCGATAAACATCAACAGGAATTTGTTCTTTAAGTAGCCTCATTGCAATACATCCAGTAAAGTATGTAAATAAGTTAAACAAGGTTAATAATTTCAAACGAAAGAACATTGGTTTCGTATGTTGAAACTTGTGATCAATCTTTATTGTTTTTCTACTCACAATACGAATACATTTTTTCTGCAACACAAACAGTTTTTGCAGCAAAGGATGGTGAAAAACAGCACCCCACAGTGGTATACAATACATTAAATATGGTTGAACAAGTGAAATATATACTTGTCTTAACACTTTGGCTGGTACTATAGAACTTATGGAGTAGAGTGATCCGCAAGATTTTGAAACTTGCGTTATTACATTGGTAATATGATCATTCCACGTTAAATTAGAATTAATAATGACTCCCAAAAATTTACACTTATTCACTTGATTAAACTGGTTGTTAAGTATTCCAACAAACTTTTGATTCTTAGGAACTTTACTACTTCCGAATTCCATAAAACAGCATTTTTCAAAATTAATGATTAACCTATTTAAGCAGCAATAGTCGTGAATCTTTGATAATACCTCATTAGCATTTTTGTAGAGTAAATTTCGGTCTTTATTTTGAAGAAAAAGGTTTAAATCATCTGCAAAGAGGATAAATTTAGCTAACTCACAAATATTTGCCAAATCATTGATAAAAATAATGAAGAGCAGGGGGCCTAACACTGACCCCTGTGGAATACCACAGGTTATTTTCAAGAGACAACTTTCGAATCCCCCATAGCTAACATACTGAAACCGATCTGATAAATAACTGTTTAATAATTTAATGACATTTCCTCGAATACCATAGTTCTCCAGCTTTTCTAACAAGATATTATGCCGCACTGTATCGAAAGCTTTGGAAAAATCTATAAATATACCTAATGTAAAATTCTTATTATCGATAGCATCATGAAGATTTTCTACTGCTGAAACAAGTGCATGAAAGGTTGAGTGCTTACTGCGGAAACCAAACTGATTATCACAGAAAAGATTGTGCTTATTAAAGAAATCAGATACGTTTTTATGTATTAACTTCTCGAAAATCTTAGCAAAAACAGGTAACATTGAAATAGGACGATAATTGCTTATATCAGAAATAGATCCTTTATTCTTATACAAAGGAATTATTTTTGCTGCTTTTAATTCTTTCGGAAAATAACCTTCATTTGCACATTTATTAAAAATATCAGCCAGTAAAGGACTTAAAGTGGTAGCTAAAAGTTTGAGGACCCTAGGAGAATAATACGTACCCTTGCTATTATTAAGCTTACTTATAATATTATTTATTTCTTCACTTGAAAAATTAATATCCGATAGCTCGCTTATGTTCCTCTCAGGCATATATTTATTAAAATCTGTTAAATCCGCGTTAGCATTTTCACCATACGTTTTTAGTAAAAGATCATTAGCAATATTAACAAAATAATAATTAAAATTATGCGCTGCATCTTGATTAGGAAAAACTAGTAATCTGTTTGATCTCTTCCTACCTAGTAAACCGTTTATCAGTTTCCAAGTCTTTTTCAAATCATGTTGATTTGCTTTAAAACATTTATCAAAATACTCAAATTTTTCTTTACTTCTAATAGCATCAAACACTCGTTTGTAATCAACATATTTGTTCCAATTAACTCTAGTTTTATTCATAACCCAAATATCATAGAGTTTGTTTTTAGTGTCACTACTCTTGCCCACTCCTATTGAAATCCAATCAGAGCGAAGAAGAGAATTATTACCACTAGACTTCTGACTTTTAATAAACCACTTATCATACAGTGTTCTAAAATTTCTGTCAAAAAAGGAATACATATTTTCGGCAGAATCACTTTCAAGATCAAATTTTAATAATTTAAAATCATTCAAAAACCCTTGTAATAAAAAGTCATTAATATTTACTTTATTTCTATTTCTACACTTTTCGTTAGGATCAAAATTATAGTCCAAAACTACGAATGTAGGAAGGTGACGACTTATATTACATCGTATAAGGCCGTTACAAATTATGTTAGATATATTGTTAGTAAGTATATGATCAATACATGTGCCATTTAAGCCTCCAAAATGAGTAGCACGTGAGATAATTGGTAAAAAGTTATTGCTAAACATGCAGTCTAAATATCTCCTAACAACACTAGAATTGGAGTTATATAGATTTACATTAAAGTCACCAAGAATATAGCTTTTGTGTCCCTTAAATGTGTTCAATTTACTTAAGATACTGCCAAACATATCGATAAATGAATCAACGTTTCCACTTGGTGATCTATAACAATTAACAACTAGTAACTTTTCAGATTTAACTGTTATTTCAACACAAAGTGATTCAAAATCAACGGTAGAATAACAAAGCTCAAATTTTTGATTAATATTATTAAATTTGTCACGCAAAAACGTTACCAAACCAGAACCTTTGTGTTTAAGCTTTCCATCCTCCTTCAATAATCGATTAAGTACAAATTTATTATAACCCGGTATGTAAAATGGTTGTGACTCATGTTCTGTTACATTAGTTTCACAAAGGAAATATCCATCAGCTTTGAAACGTCCATGGTGCACTAAAAAGCAGTCAAAATTTGATCTGAATCCATCAATATTCAAACTTAATAACGATAATCCATTGTCGTTCATTTTTTCTTCAAAATCATCTAACTTATAATAGACGCACTGACGCAGTATCTGGCTGCAATCTTGTAAATTCTCGCTAAGAGTTTCAACATCCGGGATAAAATCTATCATTTCATTGTAATAATATTCAAAAGGAGCAAAGAACGGTTGTTCGGAATAAAAATCAGTTTCAATATATTCAACAGTACTGGTAGTAGCAGTGTTTAAGTCAAGTAAGGGTAAGGGCATACATGACGAACAAATATTAGACTTAACACAGTTCTTGTGCAACATTTTGAAACATTGTTTACACTGTGCAATCTTTTCATTAAATATATCAATATTTGTTAAACATGTCACACACTTAATCAGTATCACATCCACAACCTTCCGAATGTAGGTACGGACTTCAAAATAACCGAAAAATATATTTTCGGCCCAGAATGATCAGGGTAGCATAAAACATGAACAAAAGTAATTTCCAGAAAAACTTTGAAAAATTTCGACTTTTCGAAAATTTTCGGTCCGAGTCGTTCTCGATGCGTACCTCTGAAGGCAGAGCTCCCGCTTCCGAGCTTGTATTGCGAAGGGGATGCATGCCTTCCGAGATCGCATTACATTTACAAAGGGGAACTCTCGAGTCCAAAACCGTATATCGAACTTCGAAAACCGAAAAAAATAATTTTGGCTCATAATGATCATATCAGGGTAGCATGAAACATGAACAAAAGTAGTTTCTAAGAAAACTTTGAAAATTTTTGACTTAGAAAATTTTTAACTTAAAAAATTTTTGACTTAAAAAATTTTCGGGGAAAAATTTTTTTCCCAAAAATTTTTAGAAACCTAAATTAAAAAGATGGACCTTTTTGGCCCCTTGCCCAGATTTCATGGGGGGCGATGGCCCCCCCCCTGCCCCCCCGCTTCCTAAACCCCTGGTGCACATTGACTGCAGCCCTCGGGTTACTGCGACTTTCGGACCCGGTGACCTCGCGCCCGAACCCTAATATCAGAATCTGCTCTGGTCGTTGTATTTTTAGGAAAACCCCAATTATTAAGTTATAGATATTGCATTGGATTATAAAAAAGTGAACATATAATCCTTTCTAATAAAAATATTTGTTCAGAAGACCCAGAGGTGGTCACAGAGAATCTTGGTTGCTGGAAAGATAAAGGAGCTGATAGAGCTATACAGCCGATTGAAGAGAAACACGATCTACTCAAAGATAATTGCAAATTAAGAACTGATGCGTATGAAAAGTGCCTCAAGGCAGCCTTGTCCTTTGGATACAGAGTATTTGCTATACAGGCTGGAGGTTGGTGTTCAAGTGCAACAGATGCAGAAGAGACCTACAATAAATATGGAGAGTCGAGTGCTTGTCAAGCTGATGGCGAAGGTGGACACAGTGCAAACCAGGTGTACAAGATCACGTTTCATGGTGGGTACAATTTTACCTAGGGATAAAAGTTCAAACCCTTACCCTTACTTTTACTTTTACCCTTAACAAAATTAAGTTTCTGAGGAAACAGGCCCTCCTATTGACGGAAAATATAATAATACGGAAAGAAATGGTCTGATGTGGTTCAAATTGCACAACATAGTGTCCCGTATTCACACATGACACGTTAATTCTGTCACTATTTTGATAATTTCATCTTTTTCAGTTTAGTGTTCAACATTTGACATAAATCCAAAACTGATGATTCTATATCTCCCTATAGAGACTCAGTATAGTGAGTGGATCCGAGTTCCTGCAGATGCAGACAGGGGCACTTTGATAACCGAGATAGTGGAGGGTAAAAGGTTCCAGATCAGGACTGACAAGAAGATAGATGCTGATAACGATATCCGATGGACGATGGCCGGGGGTATAGGCTGGTTCATATTTACCACAACGGCAATAAATGCAGCTAAGTGTGGTGGGGGCTCTGACTCCCTAAAGAAAGAAGCACCTTTCTTCCAACAAGCTGGTGTTCTGACATTCCTGAAGACGTCAACTCAACTACTAATATGGTTTGACGGTGTTCTGGAGGTCACATGGGTCTATGAAGACACGGATGAAAATCGAAAATGCGCGATGAGGAACACACTATCCGGATTGAAGTTCCATACTCCTAGTGGAAATAAAAAGGACAAGATTTCAACATACTACAGATATCAAACAGCTACAGGTGATTATGATAACTTTGGTGCTCTTGTCCTAAAAATGATATTTATAAACTGGAATCAGTAGTTACAAACTTTTTATGTATAGGGAGAGGAGGTTAATGGTCAAACACAAATGAGGAAGCTTTTAACTCTGAACATTACTCAGCTTCTTAGTGGCAAAATGGGTGACCGACAACTGAACCCAATTGAACCTAGTTCCCACGCAGTTAACAGGCACCCAATCAGCTTAATTGGGTGACCAATCAACTTAAATCCCAAAACGACAACTGAACCCAGGTCACATCACAACTGCACCGAAATCGGAAATACGACAACTGAACCCAAAGATCGGATTATCAGGTTCTCCTTCTTCGCAGGGGACTGTGGTCATTATCACTATAGGATAGATCATGACCACTGTAATTTAGAGCATTGGAGCCCTGTGCTTACCCCGGAATATACCTAAAAACAACGCTGTTATTGACTAGCATGTGATTTTTTTTCAGAAACGTGTGCAGCAGGAAGTTACATGCCAGATGATAGGACCTCGTGTGAACTATGTACCGGAAATACCATCAGTTCATCAGGTGCTAGTTCCTGTACTCCTTGTGGAGCTGGAAAAGAAGCAAACACTGATAAAACTGTATGCGGTATGTCTGAAATTATTCGAGTAAATTATATGATATTTTATTGTTTCATCAACTGGCAGAAAAATTAAATTTTCTCTGAATCACGTTTCCATAACATATAGATTCGATTTTTACTAAGCTCAAATCTCTAGTTTCATACTACGTTGATAGTCATTTCCAACAATAACAAACATGTGTTAACCAACAGTTGCAGTGGGCTGCACTGGCCTCAAGGCTGACTGGACAAGTACGATAACACCAGCAGTTCAGTTCCCAGTTGTCCCAGGGACCACTGTGAAAGTGATGTGCACCGACTCAGCAGCTCTCAACCAAGGGAGCAGTGAAGTGACCTGCACAGCGGGGACAGAATTCACTTATCTACAGACACCTCGCTGTAAAAAACAAGGTATACATTTATTAACAAAAATCATTTAGGAGTAAGAATTATAACGGAATTTTGATAGTTGGGTGGGTGTTAAAAAAATATGATGGGGGATCAGGTTCAAATTAACTTATAAACCGAGTTCTGCGGATCACTCCTCACTCCTGCTTACTGGGAACAGATCAGGTTCGTTGAAGGTAACGTTTTTGAATACATTTATGATATATCTATTAGTTCATCAAAAATTCCTTTGAAATCAAAAGTGATAAATTAATTAATTTACCAAGCAATAGATTGGTTGTGACCTATTTATTTCAAATGTCACCAAAATATCCAAACCTAACTAAGATATCTATAATTAATGTATAAAATTTTAAAGTGGCCTCCACCCAATAAATACAGTACAAAAAATATATTATATATTTGGCAACCTGCCAAAAAATAGTGTGCCCCTCAGAATCTTTCCCGTCGCTCATCAAAGGTGCTCGATCCTATGGTGTACGAGGAAGTCACCCCCAGGTTCTAACATCACTGTTATGTTGACAAAACATTAACTCGTCTCCTGGTATGACGGAAAATGGGACAGAGTTTTGAAAATACAACTTTTTGTTTTGTTAAGATTTCGGCTGTGAGTTTCCTCCGACCCAAATCAAACTTCCAGCACCCCAATCGTGTCATTTGCCATCTATAATTGACTGACTAATTGGTTGCGGGTCAGAAATTCGGTCAAAACTGTAAAATTTCGGCCCTGGAAAATTTAGCTTCAAAAACTGAAAATGGGACAGATTATGGGACAGTATGATTTTCCAATTTATGTCGAGATTTTGACTACAAGTACCCCAATTTGGTTTCATACCATCATCAATTAACTGACTAATTGGTTTGTGGGCAAAAATGATATCCAATCTGTCAAATGTGTGTTCAAAAATTTTCATATCTGAAAATGGGACAGAGTTTTGAAAACACAACTTTTCGTTTTGTTAAGATTTCTGCTGTGAGCTTCCTTCAACCCAAATCAAACTTCCAGCACCCCAATCGTGTCATTTGCCATCTATAGTTGACTGACTAATTGGTTGCGGGTCAGAAATTTGGTCAAAACTGTAAAATTTCCGCCCTGGAAAATTCAGCTTCAAAAACTGAGTATGGGACAGTATGATTTTCCAATTTTTGTCGAGATTTTGACTACAAGTACCCCAATTTGGTTTCCTACCATCATCGATTAACTGACTAATTGGTTTGTGGGCAAAAACTTCATCCAATATGTCAAATGTGATTGTGTGTTCAGAAATTTTCATATCTGAAAATGGGACGGAGTTTTAAAAATACAACTTTTCGTTTTGTTAAGATTTCTGCTGTGAGTACTGTAACATTATCATGGGGATACGGAGATATAACTGCCCCACTATTAACTCAAGGAATATTGAGTTTGTTGACTCAAATATAAAACTTAAGTTTTTACATTCTGTAACTGGACAGGTGAAGGGAAGTAAAATTCGGGATAGAATGTACGACTCTATCTGCCCAAACGAGCTGTCCCCATTACGTCAATGGGTTATTGACCTAAATAATCAACCAATAGAATGGGTGGTCGTTCTAAGCAACCTATTTTTCTTAGTATCTAAAAATTTTAAGTTGATTCAATTTCAGTACAAACTTTAATGAGGATCACGACGTGTAGATACATGAGACACAAAATGAAAATTGTTACAGATACTCCCATGTGTAGCCTGTGTAACACATACTTAGAAACAATTCCTCGTATCTATCTCCATTGTATCCACACAAATAGCTTCATCACAATACTTGAAGACTTTATCAAAAGGAAAATCGATAAAAATTACAAAGACCCCAATAAAATTAATTTTATAGTTTGTAATCACACTTCACAAATTATAAATTATTTTAATATTGTTGCCAAATAAAATGGTACATTAGCAAAAGATTTCAGGCAGGGGACATGCCGATCTGGGAGGGGTATATCAAACTTCTTAAACTTTCACTTACAGGAGACAAAATAGTTCACAAAAGTTCTATTGTGTCGATCTTGGCCGATTAGGGCAAATTGTCCACCCCATTTATATTGCTGTCTTTGTTATTTAATTATCAATGGTTATTGTTACTATCTTACAGTACTACTAGCTGTTTTTGTAGTACATGCCCTGCTTCCTTCCATTCCTAAACTACCTTACAAGCTCTTCCTCTTTTACACCCTTTTCACTCACTTCATTTCACTCATTCACTTCATATCTTATTACCACAGTATCTGCCAAAACCAACATGGCCCATGTGGAAGGGGGGCCTTGACGTTGTTTACCACTTGGCCCTGCATCCCAAGCTGACGGTCGGCCTCCACTCTCTAAAAAAATACCTTCAGTGAAGGCAGATGGTCAACAAATAGCGATGCTAGAGCTTGGTGTGAACAAATATTGACCTACTTTCGCACCTTTGGGACGACTCTCGCAAATGCGAGAGTAATGACCCCGGGGAGGGCCCCATTGGTTTTAGTAGGTTGCATATTTTAAAAGAAAAGAAAAAAAGGAAAAAAAAGATTTCTGCTGTGAGCTTCCTCCGACCCAAATCAAACTTCCAGCACCCCAATCGTGTCATTTGCCATCTATAATTGACTGACTAATTGGTTGCGGGTCAGAAATTCGGTCAAAACTGTAAAATTTCGGCCCTGGAAAATTTAGCTTCAAAAACTGAAAATGGGACAGATTATAAGACAGTATGATTTTCCAATTTATGTCGAGATTTTGACTACAAGTACCCCAATTTGGTTTCATACCATCATCAATTAACTGACTAATTGGTTTGTGGGCAAAAATGGTATCCAATCTGTCAAATGTGTGTTCAAAAATTTTCATATCTGAAAATGGGACAGAGTTTTAAAAATACAATTTTTTGTTTTGTTAAGATTTCTGCTGTGAGCTTCCTCTGACCCAAATAAAACTTCCAGCACCCCGATCGTGTCATTTGCCATTTATAGTTGATTGAATAATTGGTTGTGGGTCAGAAATTTGGTCAAAACTGTAAAATTTCGGCCCTCGAAAATTCAGCTTCAAAATCTGAAAATGGGACAGTATGATTTTCCAATTTTTTTCGAGATGTTGACTTTCAGCACTCCAATTTGGTTTCATACCATCATCAATTAACTGACTAATTGGTTTGTGGGCAAAAATTTCATCCAATCTGTCAAATGTGTCTTCACAAATTTCCATATCTAAAAAATTTGGATCGCAAATTTGTTTATATAAAATATATGTCATAGACATATGAGATCGAACAATTTTCAGCAACGGAACCATTCGCATTTCAGGATCAAAAACAATTTCAAGCTTAAATATTAGCGCTAGAAAATACTGCTGATCCCCACCAAAAATATACAGCAGTTTATTTCCCTATTTTTGTTGTTTTCATGTTTCAAGTTGACGGGATGCAATAAAGTTTGATTATGAATTTTCTGTATAATCTTTTTGTATAAATTTAGTAAGCGACACCACCTGTGGCCTGGTGTCAACCTAATGACTGGAATTTTATTTGTCAGACCATAATTCTCATTTTTCTAATTCGGTTTCACGCATCAATTGTGACAGCTCCTTTGCAGTCTTCATTCTTCAAGGGAGCTTGTCCCGAGGCGATAATTCCGTTTTTATACTGTTGTACACTGTACAGCTGTGTTTTTTGTTATTTTCGAACATATTAATCGATAACTATTAACTTAGCACCATGTGCACCTTATTGCTGTTTA